TTTTTTTTTTTTTTTTTTTTCAGTACTGGGGATTGAAGCCAGTACCTTGCTTGGGACCCTCCTGCTTCAGCTTCCCAGAGCGCTGTGATGATAGCTTGTACCACTGGGCCCGGCTTCATCCCCTCCTTTTGTGGTGGTGCTGGAGATGTAACCCAAGGCCTCCCACATGCTCAGCCCTGCTGTCCCTCTGACCCACACTGCAGCCCTGCCCGCCCTTTCTGGCTGAACCTTACAGTGCTCTTCGCCCTACCCACTGGTTGGCTGGGAGACGCTGGGCTTCGTTTCCGCCTCTTGGACGCAGTGACCCCTGCTGGCACGGAAGTGCGCGGACCTGCATCTGTCACAAGCCTGTCTCTCAGGCTCCTGCTCACGCCCAGCGGTGGCTCTGTGGGCAGAGTGTGTTTCCGCCCTCCCCAGCACGCACTGTCCTTTTCTTCCCATCCCAGTGGGTGTGAGGTGGCCTCTCACTGTGGTTTCGGTTTGCATTTCTCTGACGACTAGTGAGGCTGAACATCTTTCAATGTGTTTGCCACCCGTTTCCACACCTTATTTATTTATTAATTAGTTAGTTTTGGTTTTTTGAGACAGGGTCTCGCTCTGTAGTTCAGATTGCTCTGGAACTCATTGTGTAGCCCAGGCTGGTTTCAAGCTCACAGTGATCCTCCTGCCTCAGCCTCCCGAGTGCTGGGATGACAGGCGTGCGCCACCACGCCTGGCCTTCCACATCTTCTTTGGAGAAGTGTTCATTCAAGTACTTTGCCAATGTTTTCCTTCTCTGGGGAGTCCTGGATAGAATCCAAGGCCTTCACACTGAGTGACATCCCTAGAGATTTGTGTACTTATTTAGTTGGTGGGTAGTTTTTGTTTTTGTTTCTTTGAGATAAGAGTCTCACTATGTAGCCCAGGCTGGCCTGGAACTCCCAGCAATCCTCCTGCCTCTGCCTCCCAAGTGCTGGATTACAGATGTACGCTAATTCTGTGTCTTCATTTCTTGTTCGTTGTTCATCTACCTCTGACCCTGGAGCCGGGTGAGGGCAGCTGAACTGTGCTGGTCACTGCTGTGGCCTCAGCACAGGACAGGGACTGCAGGGTTCAGGCAGCTTGTGGGGAGCCCTCTCCTCTGTGCCTACGGTTTAGACCCTCCGTCGCTGGGCCCCGCACCCCGGCCTTCCCTACTCCCCAGCCAACCCCCACTGAGCCCCAGAACTCCAAGGTGGTGGTCCCAGCCCTGGAGGGACACGGGAGGGTTGTAGAGCGGCCCCTCGGGATCGCCCAGAGCTGGGTCCGCCAGACCAACGTGCCCATGCACCCTTCCCTCTGCCCCCAGCCCCCGGCCGCCGGGGCCCAGCGGCGCTGGTCTCCGAGGTCTTCGAGCAACACCTGGGAGGACACATCCTGCAGGTGAGGCCCCGACGCCGCCCCTGCTGCCACCTGGTGGCCACGCGCGGAACCGCGTTCTCTTTTCTCACCTATGCAATGAGCAGCGTGTGGACCCCAGACCGAACGCTCGCGCGCCCCCTGCCGCCTGCCCGCCCCGGTTCACCGCACCCCTCCGGGACATCCAGATTTCATTCCCGGTCTTATGCTGGGGACAGAATCCTCCCTTTTCCCGCCCTTTATTTTCCCCGGCTGCAGTCCCTGGATGGCTTCGTTTTCGCCTTGAACCAGGAAGGAAAATTCCTGTACATCTCCGAAACGGTCTCCATCTACCTGGGTCTCTCACAGGTAAGGCCCCTGCGGGCCGCCCTTCCCAGTACCCCCCCAGCCGGTGCCTGCCTTGCTCTCCTGTGTCCCCATCCCAGCACGGAAGAAAAGACATGGAATGGATTTATGATTCCTCAAATCTGTTCCCTGGAACCGCACATGGCACCCAGGTGACTCAAGATGGGAGGGGGACAACCTGAGGAAAGCAGGTGAGCTGAAAGTCCAGCTCCTCGGTGACTCGAAGGCGGGGTGCACGGAATTTCCAGCACTTGTTCATTTTTGAAAGTTTACAACAGTTCTGTGTTCGTTGCAGTATGGGGAACTGAAACCAGGACCTTCACACTGAGCTATGTAGTGCTCAGGCCATCCACCCATGTGTCTGTCTGTGTGTTTAAGACAGGGTTTAACTCAGTCGCTAAACTGCCCAGGCTTGGCTCCAGACCCTCCTGCTCAGCCTCCCGAGTGCTGGGATCACAGGTGTATACCACCAGGCCCTGCTGCTTTTCAGTAATTCTCATGGGGAGACTCTGCATGGTGCTTGAGGCTTTATCTCTGGGTGCACTTTCTGCCCCAGCTCCTGCCTCTGAGGACAGGGAGAAGCTTTGGCCTCCTGCAGAGCTCAGGCTTGCAGATTCGTTCATACAAATCACTCTCATCTTTCATCATTTTTGTAAAGATTTTGGCAAATGAGAAATTGGGAGAATTCGATGCATTTGGCGATTGGGTCCTCATGAGCAGCTTTTCAGTGAGTTGTTAGAGATTCTTGGAAGAAAAAGGGAGGGGGACTTGTATGTGAGCGCATGCGTGTGTGTGGTTGCGACAGGGTCTTTTTATGTGTTTCAGGGTGTCCTTAAACTCCCAGCAACCCTCCTGCCTCAGCCTCTCAAGTACCGGGATTACAGGCGCGAGCCATCACTCCTGGCTAAGGAAAGGGTTTTGGACAAAGAGAAAGGGGAAAGAAGGCGTTTATGTGGGGGCGGAGCTTAAGGGGGAACATTGTGAAGGGCCTGAGTTCAGCCCTCAGTACCAAAAACAACCAACCAAACGATAAAACCGAAAGTAGCACGAGGCGCGTCAGTGCTGTGGTGCAAACCTGAGTGGCTGCCCGCGCACCTCAGCCGTCCCTGCACTCCCTCTCATCGCCGGCAGGTGGAGCTGACGGGCAGCAGCGTCTTCGACTACATCCACCCCGGGGACCACTCTGAGGTGCTGGAACAACTGGGGCTGCGGGCCCGGACTCCGGCCCCCCCCACCCCGCCCTCCATCTCGTCCTCTTCCTCCTCTTCCTCTTCGCTGGCAGATATCCCTGAGATCGGTAATTCCAGGGGTCCCCAGGTGGACTGAGGGCACCTGCCTCTCTGTACTGAGCTAATCCTGGGTGTACAAAAAGCCCTTTCCTTCGAGTTGTGCAGTCTTTGTACAACGAACCAGATTCGATCTGCTCGAGCTCCCCAGAATGCCAGGTTCCCCAAGACTGAGCTTTAAGAAAGACCCCTCTTGCAGCGGGGTGGCTGGGCTTATCCAGGTCTGCACTGCTGCGCACTGGATCCTGACCCGTTCCCACGAAGCAAATCCTCTCCATTTTTCCAAAGCAGAAAATGAAGCACAGCGCAGAAAAAGCCATGTTAACCGCCCGGATCACACAGCTGTAGCCGGTTTGTCTGGCTCCAGGATCTGACCCTAACCATTCTTCCCAGTGGAAATTTACACTCTTCTGGTGGTGGAGCTCGAAGGTGCTGGTGATAACAGCGCCTTCTAGTTTTGAAAGTTTGAGGCTCCTGTCCGTAGACAGCGCTGTCCCACACTGGGTTTGCTTAGTGCAGAACCATCTAGACTTCAGCAGCAGCTGCCCGTAGCAGTCTGAGGCTCAGTCACTAGACCACTGTTATTAGACCGCATAGTGGGGTTCGCAGAATAATCTGGATTTGGCAGTTTGACGTGTGGCTCTTCCCTGAGTCCCTGCTCTGTGCCAGGCCAATGCTGGGGGACACGGTGGTGACCATGGTGGCCCCATCTTCCCCTCCTGGGACTCAGTCCTAGTGCGGAGGCTGACCTGTTCCTAGACCGGCCCCAAGCCCCAGGGAGGGAGCTAGGGCAGGTGTCAGTGAGCGTGCAGAGCCGAGGACAGGAACTCAGTGCGTCCCAGAGTGGATGTGAGAGGGACCTCGTCAGAACCCCAGGGCCGCTGGCTCTGAGCAGGGCGCACAGGCGCGGCATCTCCTCTTCAGGCTCACAACTGCGTCTCTCACCCCAGACGCCAGCCCTGCCGAGGCGCGCCCTTCCGCCCGGGTCCAAGAGCGCTCCTTCTTCGTCCGCATGAAATCCACACTCACCAAGAGGGGGCTGCAGGTCAAGGCCTCCGGGTACAAGGTGGGTGCTTGCCGGGGCGAGAGCTCTTAAATTCCTTCCAGGAGTGTCCCGGGCCGGAGCATGACCGTGACCGAGGAAACCAAGGCTGGGGACGGGGCCACACGCTGGCCCCTGTGCCTCACGCCTGTGGGTGATGGATGGAACCTGGCGAGGAGGCCGGCTATGGTCCTCCTAGCTCTCAGGCTCACCTGGCCCCTCCACCAACCATGCCCATCGCCTGCAGGCCTTTCCCCGACCACGCCCACCACGGCCGGTCCCGCCTCCCGACGACGCCCCCTGCCCGATAGCTCCGCCTCCCCAACTGGAAACCCCACCCACCTTGCTCCTCCACCAACCTCACCCCTCCTGCAGGTCATCCATGTGACAGGGCGCCTGCGGGCCCGTGCCCTAGGCCTTGTGGCCCTGGGCCACGCACTGCCCCCAGCCCCTCTGACAGAGCTGCCTCTACACGGACACATGATCGTCTTCCGCCTCAGCCTGGGTCTCACCATCCTTGCTTGTGAGAGCAGGTACCGGGGTTGGGGGCTGAGGCAGATGCAGGGGGGCTCCCAGGACAGCTGGGTTCTGCTTGAAGTCAAGGGCAGCCTGGGTCTGCAGACTCTGCCGCAAAGGGAGCCACAGAGGAGGAGGAGCCAGGGGCGGGTAAAGAGGCTAGAGAGGTGACAGCCTTGGGGGGACTGTGTCATGCTGGGGACCCGGAGGCTCTGCAGGACCCCATCCTTCCCCTGCCCTTGTCTCCCATCTCACCTCTCACCTGCTTCTCCTGGTACCTAACAGTGAACTAGTCCTGGTCCAGAGCATTCAGAGGTCCGGGGCTCTGCGCATGCTCACAGCCACCCAGGGCGGGGCAAACACACCCAGAGCACCTGCGGAGCAAGGGTTTGGACTCTGGGTGCTCTGAAGCCACCTCATCCTCCCTCTCCTGTCACCCCCAGAGTCAGCGACCACATGGACCTGGGGCCCTCAGAGCTGGTGGGCCGAAGCTGCTATCAGTTCGTCCACGGACAGGATGCCACCAGGATCCGCCAAAGCCACTTGGACCGTGAGGCCCACCTCTGACGCCATCCCCATACCCCTGTCCCCAGGAAGTTCCCCTTCGCAGCTGGCCACAGTCCATCCCGCTGAGCCCTGGCTCAGGACGGGGGCGGGCTGTGGGGTCCCCGTGACCCACCCTTAACACTCCGGGTCCCCCAAGCTCTGCTCCCTCTGACTCTGCTGTCTCCCTCCCGGCACCTCTGGCTTCTCACCTCTCCTGGTCACCCCCTCGCTGTCCACTCCTCACTGTCCATCTGTCCGTCTGTCTCCCTGGCCTTCTCCTTCATCCCTTACCACACCGGTCCCTTCCCATGTCTCCGGCTGTGCTGGGCCCAGTGCTGGACAAGGGCCAGGTGATGACCGGTTACTACCGCTGGCTGCAGCGCACAGGCGGCTTCGTGTGGCTGCAATCTGTGGCCACTTTGGCCGGGAGCGGGAAGAGCCCCGGGGAGCACCACGTGCTCTGGGTCAGCCATGTGCTCAGGTGACAGCCACAGCCCGCACCCCTCCTGCAGGGATAGGAGTCGCTGTGCCCCACCTTGGGGTGGGTGCTGTCCAGGGCGGGACAAGTCAACAGGAAGGAGCAGGAAGTGAAAGCAAAGGCCTAGAGGTGCAGGGGACAGGAAACAGTCCCTGGTGGGGGGCAGTGTCTGAATGAGGCAGGGCCAGCTCACAGAAGCCTCTGGCCCAGCAAGAGGATCTGGACTCTGGGGCACTGGGGAGCTATGGGAGGCTCTTGCCACAGAGACCCAGAGTAAAACAACTCATGGAGAGAAGCCAGAGGTGGAGCTGGGTATAGGGGTACATGCCGGTAACCTCAGCACTCTGGGAGGCTGAGGCAGGAGGGTCACCAAGCTGGGAAGGGCATTGCCAGCAGGGGGCCCAGCAGAGTCAAAGAATCAACAGCCTGATCTGTCCATAGGAGAAAAGGGAGCACACAGGGTTGGAGTTTAAAGTCATCAGAGAAAAGTCTGAAAATGACTGCGGGGCTCTTGACTCAGGGGCATGGGGCAGCCATGATCTTTGGAAACTCTTCTTGCTGGTATGGAGAGGGAGGCCAGGAAAGAGGCCGGGGCAGGTCTTGGGAAGTGCCAGGCTGCAAGGTTACAGGAAAGGGGCAAGGGCATTTTCAACCTGGTCTCTGGCTTTTCAGAGCCTAGAGGTAGGCTCGGGAGAGGAGGTAAAGGTTTAGAAGGAAGACGCTGAGGTCAGATGAGCAGGAGGCACGTGGGGGACTTGCAAGTGGTGGCATCCAGGTGGCCAACGGCTGTGTGGGTCTGGCCTCAGAAGAGAGCCAAGCTGGGCAAGGAACCAGCTTGGGGTTGGGGTTAGCGTCGGGTGTGGAAACGCTGGCTGGAGCGGTGTGGGACAGAAGGGTCAGCAGAGGCTGGGTGGCCGGGGACCCGGGGCTCTAAACCTCATCCTCTCTCCGCAGCCACGCTGAGGATGGCCAGACCCCTCTGGACACTTTCCAGCTTCCACCCCGTGCAGCCTGTGAGGGGGCATCCAGCTCAGGGCCCGAGCCCACTGGTAAGCTCGCCTCCTTGTCCCCAGAGCCCCTGGGAAGCCCAAGGGACCGCTGGGAGGTTGGTCCATTTGAGAAGCCACCAGTCTGTGCAGCCGTGCATATGAACATTAAAAGTAGAAGTCCGTGCTGGGCACAGACCCATAATCTCAGCACTTTGGGAGGCTAGATCACTATGAGTTCAAGGCCATCCTGGACTGCATAATAAGACGCTGTCTCCAAAAAATAAAAAAAAAAACCCACATCCTCAACAGAACTCCCCACACTGTGGCCAGTGGCTGACCATAGGACAGGCGGTTGTGGGTCCCGCCGTGGAGCAGCAGATATCTACACGGGGCTGCTCAATCCCGACTGCCTGGCAGTTATGGGATGGCTCCAGCTGTGGGCCGGTCCTGTGCAGCCACTGGTCTCTGCCCTCTGGATACTACCGGTAGCCTCCTCTAGCTGTGATGACCAAAAGTGTACCCAGACGCTGCCAAGCGCTTCCCAGGGGACAGTCCCTTCTGCTGACCACCCCGAGTCTGCCCACTGAGCACAGATGTGATTGGGGAACCTGAGGTCCAGAACGCCCACCAGACCATCGGGCCTTTCCTCTTCCAGAGAGGGGCCCGCCGGCAGAAGGGAAGCAGGCGGCGCCCCCAGACCAGGAAGACGAGCCCCAGGCCCGGGGCACACGCATCAAAGTGGAGCCGCGGGCACGGGAAGCCAGCGGCTCTGAGCACAGCAGAGGCGAGGAAGCGGCCCAGCAGCCCCGCG